AAATTTTGTGAAAAAATAAGTGCTTTTGATTTTTGAAGAGTTAATGAACTCCTAATAGAATTCAACACCCGTCCTCTAGTACTAAAAGCGGAATTAGATGGAACAGTAGATATAGGAATCCTGTAGATGTTTTAACTACTTGTGGCTAATAAACTTAAATCGAGTAGGATTTACCTTCCACCAGTTTAATAAATCAAAATCCTTATCCTCAGTACAAGTCTCATCTAGATAACGAGTCATCTCTGTTTTTTCATCATCTTGATCTTTTTTCTTACTTTGTTTATATCTATTATGAACAACAACACATACCTTATAAATTCTAATTTCCACGAGAGATACTAAAAGAGATAGATGTTATTCACTTTGACAATTTGATACTCATGTGGGTGTAGATGATTGTGTTTGGGGTGTGTTACTTTGACCCTGACATTCTTGTATGATAGTCATCACATAATTGACTTTAATGTTGCTTCAACCTTATTTGTCCACAAATTTGCACTTTTTTTCTCCAAAAATTCATGAAAGCAATAACTCACATAATTTAACTTACATGTAGGGTCAAGAACAACGACAACATATGACAACAAATTGATCTTCTCACTTGTTGGTACACTTCAATACTTGTTAAATTTTGCTTGCATGCTTGACGTCAGTTTACTCTACTAGACATTTTTATATAAAGAATATTCACGAATCATTTTCTGAACCAAACACATTTCATGGAAAAATATGTTCGAAGCCAAAGATATGAATGTAGAAAATTTTAGAGTAATATAAGAAAWTTTTTTTTATGAACCTTATAAATACTTTTGCATTATCCAAATTCTCATTAGTAGGTCTGTCACCTTCTGCAATATAGTTCATGATCCTCTAATCTTTCAAAAGTTTTTTGGAACTTAATTGCTCCATCCGACATAGTGAAGGTTGAATTTGCTTCGGGTTGGGACATCCATAGTTAGACAACTCTTTGTTGAAATGTCATATTCTCTAGCGAAATCTTTAAAT